TTTAAATTCTTGCTAATTAATATTTGAGTAGAAGTATCTTTCAATAAAACAATCTTTCCAATCGATAAAATAAACTTATAAAATATATCTAAAATTATCTTCTTGTTTTGAAGAGAAATTAAATCATATTTCTATATATTATTAATTTGAGTTACAGTTTTTCATAGCTTATTTTATTTTTGGGTTCTGTATAATTAATTTCCATATACACTCATATGGTTTAATAATTAACAAAACAAGGGGAAGTTTTCGTTATATTATATTTGACGTTGGTTCTATTAATTGTAAGTGTTGTTTTATTGAAACATTTTTATATTAAGTTATTTTTCAAGAATTTTTATTGTGTATTTTCTCGCTTCTGACGTCATAACCTGAGATACTCCGTCTGTTCTTTAGCGATGAACTGTCTGAACTGTTACATGTCAGTGCAAATATAGTTTGCTGTACTTCAACTTTTTGCACGATGTGCATCAATTCAAAGAATTGTTCTGATAAAGTACAGGCTTAGTGAGTGAACAGGTCACTTGAACAATTTAACCAAAAAAATATAGGTATGAAATTGATTCAAATTTATTTTATTGCTTATTAATTGATATGGTAAAATACGGACATTGTTTACTTTGAAAGTAAGCAATTCTGTACAGAAATGGATTAATTCACATTATAGAAAAATAATAAAATGTTATTTAACTCAAAGAATTGGATTACCATTGCTCCTTTGATATCTAACAATAAGATATTTAATCTTTCACGTAATCGCGTTATCATAAGTTCGTCGATTTATATCAACGAGAGGATATAATCGCATCACGAAATCCAAATTTAGAAGAGCAACTTCTATCCAAAACCCATTCAAATGATTAAGAGCTCGAGATTCTCTCGAAGTTACTTAACAATATTCTCGAGCGTGGCTTTTACATTTATTTGATTACGGTGTAATAAGAAGAACAACACCAAAGCACTATGTTGAGCACTGTGTTGAGCAATGTATTGAGCACTTCTACGTAGTTTAAATTTAAAAATGTATTTTATTATCTTATACATATTACCAGACAAAAATATTTAATGCGCAAGGAAACGGTCGTTTACTTAAATCGTTTTAACACCATCAATTAGCAACTCGACACTTAACAGATAGATACTTGCATTTACAAGGGTTATAAATTATAGAATTCACATCTACATAGTGTAAAGCTGCAATTTGCGCATCGACGCTTTGTGGTTGATTGCATCGGAGGATCTTGATTCAAGAGAACACGATTGACCTAAATTTCTTCATGCGCAAAAAACGTGCGCGCGCTTCTTGTAAAACAGAAAGATATCTATAAATTCCCAAAGGATTTTCTATTTCTCTCAAAAGAAATCCATGCCTGGTTATCTTAAAAAGTAACAATATTGGTTTTCGATATTATCATACGAGATTTATTCCCGACGATATCACTTTTCTGTTTATTCTTTCACTTTGACCGACGCTTCTAATCGACAATCCATATTAAGTCCTTGGTTTTTTTTAAATATTTATAATAATACTGAAAAGACTATGGATACAACGCCAGGGAAGAAACGAAAATTTCTTTACTCTCTTACTGGATAATATTATAATTGCGATTATGAATAGCTACTCGCTCCGCTTGAATATCTTGAACACCGTCGTGTTCCCGGTGTTCCTTTCGCGTAGGTCTCGTCTCTAAATCACCCTACCCTCGTAAATCGTCCGTCGCATCCCTCGCGATACTTCACGCGGTAAAATACGGGCGTTACACGCCGCGGATGCATGCATGCATCGGGCGGGCCGGCGATGGGCGTTGCATTCACGTCGGGGCCACTCCGCATGCAGGCCGCCTCTCGGAATGAACGTAACACTCGAGATGCATTCGCGATGAGCATTCGTCCGAGGCATGAGATTCTTTCCTCGCTTTTCCCACTTATAGCAGTCCGCGATTTACCTCTCGATTTACCTCTCGATGCAGTGCCGTTCGTCGCTGGCGTTCTTTGTAACTTTCGAAATGTATCAAAGCGAGGAAGAACGAGCAGCAGTTGGCCGTAGCGGGAATGTTGTCTCGCTAAAGTGGGCCATGCGGTAGTTTCTTGGAAAGTGCATACCTCAGGTGTAGCCGGAAGAACTGGAAAACGGCGGGGTTGAAATGCGCGTGAGAGCGCAGTGCACATACCGGGAGCACAATGGGACGGTTTTGTAATATATTGTAAGCGTGGCGCAAAGTCCAATGGTGCGAATACGCGAAGCTGCGGGCTTTCCTCCATTTACAGTGTCCGAGAAACTGAATAAAGAATTCTCGGGAAAAACGATGGCCGCTAGGGGAAACTACGAGGTTATTTCCTTGTAATGCGTTCTCGACATTCTCGTACAATTCTTAAATAAATTTTAGAATTGTTTGAGCTGTATCGAATTGTTTGTAGGATTATGACATAAACACAACTATGATAATATTCTGCGTTGAGAAAAGTGTTTGGTATTTGTGACTATAATTATGTTAATTGTAATTGTTAACTGTAATTGTCATTATTATAATATTAGAGTAAATAATTGATCATAATAATTATGTGTATAATTTTGTATCAATGTACGTAGTTGGCACCGCGAATATGACTGTAAATTATAACTATTATTACTATAAAACTGATTGTAGTTACTATAATTCAATTACAATGTACGATCATTTTTCAACTATATACACCTTTCATGGTAGAACTGTGCGCACAGTTATTAATATTGTAGCAGTAATAACCATAATTATGAAGTTATCACAACAAATAATTATAAAATCCAAAACTTTTCTCTCAGTGTACATAACGCAGCCTTTTGTATTACACAACTGCCGTTAGAACATGTTATTCTACTCATATCCCGTTCTCCTCACGAGTCACCGCACATAAACCGATTCAGATATCGATTCATTCTATTCTCCGTATAGTCACATCAAAATTTTATAGAGCCCCGTGGATACACTACCGCTTACTGGGTTATTACAATTTATCATACCTCGCGAATATACCTCGCCTATCACCGTGCTTCGCATCGAACATAGGCACTGTAAAAAAAAAACATATACACATATACATATATATGTACGCGCCCCCGAAAGTGATCCTACGAGATACACGATCGCGTCGCAAACGCGTTTTCCATTTGCAATATCCCCCTACGAGACGAATAAAAATCTAACTACATATTTGTTTGTATTTGAGGCGGTTGCGACTCGCATAAGCGGCGCGATGTTGAAACCGACGAATTCGAAGTCGAAAGAAAAGCTCCAGACCGGAAGGCGGAGGCGATTCTCGAAGGGTGGCGAACACCGCGGGGTTTAGGGGGGTTCACGTCCCTGTTCCTCCTCCCTTCTCACGGAATCCATCGGGAGGTCGATGCAGCAGCGATGGCGACATTATCGGTTTCGCATCAACCGCAGTTTACTTCACGATCGTACGTTCGTCCTTTAGTCCTCGCACGTCATTCGTTGCGTGCATACATGTGCATTTCACTCCCACATGGCGTGGGAGTGAAATGAGAGAGGCGCGGCGATGCGATAAAGACGCGGATATTGTGTCGATCCTCGTCAGCGATGACGACACACCGGGTAACTGCGGTGTTCTTCGCGAGCAGTGGAACGAAGAGAGGGCGGTTTTACCCAGCGAGGAGGGTAGATTGCGGGGGTGGCGCGTGCGTCATTTAGGTATCGAGAGAAGGATGCGAGGCGGAAGAGAAATTCGGAGAGCAAGCAGTTTAATAAACATGCGTCATGCTGCAAATGAAATACTGATATTACATCATCGTCATCATCACGTAGTTTGTTAATGGCAAAACGCTTAGTTAAATATTCAGTACTTAAATATTTTAATGATGTGATTATATCAAGTATTCTGAACTTGATTAATTTTGTGCTGATAAAATATTAAGCTTTTGCAAGCAAATTAAACTTCAAAACTATTGTTGAAATAATTGATGTTCATTGAAAGGGCAAATTTTATGAAAGTTTCACACACAGCCCTCTTTTAACTCAATCGATTCAAATATATCGATCGCCCACGTCGAGATATATTTAGCTTCTCGGTGGAAGATATTAATAAGCGAGCACTTAAGGAGAGGGAGAGAGGGAGAGGTCATTCGTGTACGAAGATGTTACCTCATAAGTTGACAACTTTTTTTTTTATTAAGAAGAGATCTTATTTTGTGGAAGAAATTATCCAGGACGCGTACAGCACTGATATTATTTTTTCAAATTGACTATCGTGTATCAAATAATTCTTATAAAGATTTTGAATTATTTAGACCGATTAATTCTCTCTCGCGTTTAATTAAGCCGAATCGAGTAACTGTGAGTGATGTAGTAATGCCTGCATTATACTAGCGATTTGAGATTTAGCATCTCTTGGCCAATCAGAAAGAAACTGCTGACCAGCAAC